CCTGGTGTGTTACGACCACAGGAGTGGCCGCAGTTGCTACGGCTCCAATCGTAGCTGCTACGGTACTGGTAGCTGCTGATGTAACGCTGGTGACCGTAGTTATGATCGCTGATGCTGCCCGCACCAAGGCTGACCTGGGTGTGCTGGCAGACTGAGGTGCTGCATGTGTTGTGTTGTGCTGACCTGCTTCCTTTCCCAACCGGTGCTCTGACGCCTGGGTAGAGGCAGCCGTAGGGGTGCTGGCGTGATTGCAGGGACTAACACATGCGCACTGTACAGTTGTGCTGGCTGATTGAACGGGTTGCTGACTATCGTTGCTAACACATCCCCCCCCCAGCTCTGTTGACATATCGCTGGGAAGAGAGCTGGCCCTGGTACAGAAAGCTGTTGAACGAAGGCTAGCTGTGACCCCTCGTGCGGCGGACCGCAGAGCAGGTGTCATGGGGATGCTAATTGTGTAGTCCGGACTCTCGATGACATTGGGAAACAGGTGGAGCTGCGCTGTCGGATACTGTGTGATGGCGTCCGCGACAGGTAGCATTTGCTCGTTGCCCACCAAGAAATCGAACAGAGGCGTGTTCTCAACCACCAGTGTCTGAGTGAGGTTGAGCTTGAACTCGTGTATCGTGCCCGGAAGCATTGTCACTTGCACTCCCCTCGTGTCAATTTCCCCCAAAAGCTTGGCGTCGACACTGGCGGACGTATCTAGGTGCGTGCGAGTGGGCACGAGTACCAAACCCAGCCGCTGCATGGCGCGCTGTGTTATGAGATTCACGTCCGCGCAGTGATCACGGAGGCTCCGGAACTCGGGATGTTCATGACCATTGAGCTGTAGTGCACCTTGTGGAAAATAAAACATGAGCTGCTTTCGTGCGAAGTAGTCGGCTGCAGGACGGTTGCTGAGAAGCAGTTGCTGCAGCTCGACGCTGTTTATCTCCTGTATGCTTCTGGGTGGTGCTCCAGTTACCCCTGAAACACAGTATGGCACTCCAGAAGGCATCTCACGCAGCACTGGCTGAGAAGTGCAGCCAGCAACACTCAGCGGCCCGGGGGCCTGCATGCTGAGTGCTGCAGTTTGAACGGTAGGCTGCGATAGGGCTGGAACCTGGGCAGCTGCTAGATGCTGCTGCTGAGGGGCTGGAGATGGCTGAGGCACCCCAGACAAGCCCTCCTTGGAGTGAGACGTATTCTCACAGGTCGCTTCATCGACCTCACTAATTGCCGCGATAACCCTTTTTAACACAGGCCCGTCTATGTTCAAACGGAGCACCAACTCACTGGGTTGGTGTGCTGCTGTTGCTGTTGACCCTTGAAGTGTTGCAGCAGCAGGGCGCGGCTTTGAAGACACCTTGGGTGGTGGGTAGACATTGTTGCTGATCTCCATGGGTTGGAAGGACACCGGAGTAGCTTGATGCGTGAGAGTGGCATGCACGGATGCCGCCACCTCGTTGATTGTCTCAGAGGTTATGCCCGGAGGCTGGGTGCTGCAGTTGAAGGACGCGTTGGCGTTGCGCCGGTGCGGCACGTACACCTCCTCATCATCCTCGGTGTCCTCCTCATCATGGTGCACAGCACCGACAGCCACTGCTCGGTGCTGGCGTGGTGCGGCGCCACGCTCGCGATTCTGCTGTGCCTGCTCTTTGTTAGCTTGGAACAGCACCTGGAGCGCCTTAAGAGGCGGCTCCCAGCCGGGTGGCGCCAATTGTGGGTGGAGCACCCTGCAGTTTGGCTCATCATGGCCATACCGCCCACAATACTCGCAGGGCGGACCATCATACATGCGGGGACGCCTATTGGAAGCACCTCCATTGTTGATATTGCCTCCGCCACCTCGGTTCTGCCGCCGTTGCTGATCGGCAGCATACTTTGTGGCTGGGGCCTGCTGCTCGGATGTAGAAACCATAGCAGCACGACTCGCGCCTAATGCAGACTGTACTGCTGCGGTGATCATTGCCGCCAATTCATCAGGCTGACGGGAACCCGTAGCTGCGGCGCTCTTGCCACTTCCTGTTGTACGACCATTTA